ACGCGTAAAATGACATGTTCTGATAAACATCCAACTACAACTCCTTTCAAGTTATGAGATAACTCATGCTTGAAAATTGACGCGAATGACATTTGGTTCGAGTTTCCGATACAATCAGCGACATGACAGATCGATTCAAATCTCTCTGTCTTACATATTTCTAGTATCTCGTAGTTATATTTCGCTGTATGTATCACAATTTCCGTGACAGACAACATTCTTATCTATAAACCACTAAATACGTACTTGCTAATTTTGAACGAAATGTTTACCGTGATAGATAATAGTTAGATTTTACTAACACGATATAATTCCTGTTTTGCTTAACAGTTTTCTACAAACTTACACCGGATAGCGTACGTGTCTAAACTTTACTTAAAAATTCACCCTCTATATCTATTAAATCATATAGCGCTTAGTAACACTATCCGAAAATAAAATAAATGTCACAATTTATCGTTCTATCTATCCCTTTAACTCCCCCTAAAATACCAAGAATCCATTTGACACTCAAGAAACTACCTTAAAATAGAAAAAGTCACGTTCCACCAAGATGTCGCGTCGCGTCATTTCGCTCACCCCAGACTATAAACTACAAACTCCTCCATCAACCTTGCGCGCAAACACCCCAACGTCATCTTACAATCACCACAGTCCCTCCCCTGTGAGGAACATCTAATCCTTAAAAAAACTAGTCGAAGATAAAAAAGGTGACACTCCATCAGTACATGGTTCGAGGGAGTGTTTGAGCCAAATTGCCCGAACACGATCACCGCGCGTGTAATTCGAGCGTTTTGCGTGTCGAGCGTCAGAAAAATGCACAGCAGAGACGAGCAGCAGCAGCTGCCGCCGTGTTTTTCGTCGCAATACGGCTGCATCGACGCGCCCTTTTAAACGCCGCGCTAGGACGCGAATAGAAGCGTTTTTATCAAGCTCGTTGCGCGTTAGTTTTATTCTGGGACGACGATTCGAACGCGTGGCTTTGGCCGGTAGTTTTCGTCGAGTGCGCGCAAACGACGTTCACCACGTTGTCCTCGTCATCGTGGTCGCATCTCGCAGCGAGACACACACACACACCGGTGACTCGTTAAAGCGACATTCACGACACATGATTCCATGGGAGGGCTTTTTGCCCGACGTCGTTTGTCATGCTTTTGCTCTCAGAGGCTGTTGTTTCACGGAGATAGGACGTAGCTCCTTATGAAGCGCGCCGAGACTCCGGAAATTCAATTTTATACTTTTGCTGCCGGAACACGATGTATCCGGCCCACGCCTCTTTCACGATTCGCCGTATCTCTCTATCTGGATCGCCTTGCGATTCTTTCCCTGTTAGATCGCTATCCAGCGATGTTATGGTAATTTTGTTTGACGCTGTGTGTCGTAAATTAGGCGGACGACTGTGCTTTCTTCGTCCTTCTTCGAGTAGCGATACGATTCGGTGAAGAATTATTGAGAGGAAAATTGCGAATGCCGTACTATAGTAGATTTTTTGACAGAGAATATCGTGTAATTTAATTTAGTTTTCCAAGACTTTCGAACATTGATACTTTTTCTAAAGTGTAAGAATTTAGATAGTTTGTTTATGACTCTTTTAGAATTTTCTAATTTCTTTTATTGCATCTATGGTAATATTCTTTTACCTGTTTCTTGTCAAGAAACATACCTTTATATAGCCAATTTTAATAATCACGTATACAACAATGTGAAACACGCATTTGATTTTCGAGACTACGAGGGAGCAAAAGTTCAGATCTCAGAATATTACCTATCTGCAAGAGAGAACTTATCAAAGAGACTGGAGGAAAACCGTACAGAGAATCTCGAGTTGAAACAGTATCGCGGGTGGTTCGTGTCTGTCGCGTATCAATTTTCTCCCGAGCGAAGCGTGATTCACGCCTTTCCCTCTCGATGTCTCTCGCCTTTCCTTTACGCTCTACACTGTTTGATTAGGTCGGATAAGCTTGTACGTGTACCTAGCATTCCGGCCAAGGTTTATCTGGCTGAATTAGAGATAAACTCGAAACACGGTCCTACGTTTAGATGGAACGTCTCAACGTCGAAGTTTGTCGACGCGATAACGACCAGGTGAAAACGTATTCCGACGCGATGAACGTGGAAATCTTGTAGCACGTGTATACGATCTGGAAAACGAGTGGATTCGTTTCAATCCGATCGTTGGCTGGCTGCTGTGTTTCTGGTTGCTCTCGACCGCCCACCGTCTCATTGATTTACTGTCCCGCGTCACGATCCAATCGATTGACCGATAAAATTAATCATAATTGCGCTTAGCACACGGAATGCCACGACTTGTGCAATGCTCTCCACCGAGAGTCTCGACCGAATCTCGGCTTATAGATAGAGCTAGCGATATTAATTAGTCGTTAATAACATGTTGCGCGAACGGCTCCATGTTTGCTTGGTTTTCCAGGAACTGCGTGATTGTCCGGTTGGATATGTTTCTCTTCTCTTTCTCGATCCTGAACGTGATCTTGTTACGAAATAACGAAGAACGATTTCGAAAGTGAAATTGGATGAATTCCTTCTCTGGTGGAATTTGTGAATGAAGTTCTGTATTGAACGTTTGGCATGAATGGAGTTACACATGGGGGATTTAGATTGATGCGAGTGACGAGAGATTGAGATTATGTCGAAGGGATTAAGTTAATCTGTTTAGATGCGATGAAATGGAAATTGGTACCTTGTGTTGCGTTCACTTGTTCTTGTCATGCATTATCTTTCTTACTCGTTTATTTCTTCTTTTTTTTTACGTACCGAATTTTTTTTTACACCTCCTGACATATTGAAATAATTAATATAATATATCGGAGCATATGGTATTGATTAGGAAAGACGTAGACAGTAGGCTAATTACTCCGTTGTTTCGTATATTTAATTAAAATATCAAATAATTTCACTATCTTTTTACTGATGAAATAATGCACGTTTCTATAACACGTGATTGATTTATATTTCTAAATGTCGAAGACAACCTAGTAACAAATAAGATATAAAAGTATATACGAACTAGAACTTAGAGGTTGACAGAGAATAGTAACACAGAATCAATATCTGTTCCCTATTTCGTTAAGTTTCATGTAAATTTCTGCTACAAACATAAGGACATTTATAAATTACAACATGCATCTTCCTTCTAGGATCCGAAAGAAAGAGCTTTCTTAATACAGAGATAAAATGGTCATATTTATCCCGATTCAAGTTAAGTAGAGTCTTCTTCATAATCCAATTAGTATCCGCCCCAGAGTTACATCGGTGATAATTTTTCCGTAAGGGAAGCAAATTTCTCGTTTGCAAAGAGGGATCCACGACAAACACGACGAAATAAGACGATGGAACGAAAACAGGCCGAGCGTGCAAATTTATCGCGTCGTTTTTGGATTACCGTAGGAGCGTAATTGAGAAACGATCCAAGTTTCGCGGGCTCCTCGACGATCGTTTAATTGAATGGGTCGAGGTTTGCAGACTGTTCCACCAGCACGTTCCCGTAACGGAACGGTCGCGATAAATTTTCATACGACGCTGCTCCGTTAATGCAATTATATCCAACGATGAATTGTCGTGACGAGCGCTTTGATAAAACTAATGCCTGTTTAGACTCGTACTCTCCCCGTTTTCAAGGATATAACTGTGCTTAGGAAAAAGACGATGCTTTGGCTCGAGAGAGTTTCAAGGAGATCCAGGACCATTGCGAGGTCCCACTTTGAAATTAATTCTTCTACCTTGTCAAGTATCGTAGCAGTAGAGTTGTGAAATTTTGAGAAAATTGAGTTAGCCAATTCGACTCTCACGCGCGAAGATCACAGGGAAAATTATAATAAGTCAAATTATCGAACAATTAGAAATTTTTATTTCGTCTAGAGAATGCATATTACGATAAAACGCTTAAGAAATAATTCTTTTTTTTTCGATATAAATTCCTTCCTACAAAATGAACTTACTACTACTATTACAATGAGATTCAGATATCTCCTCTAATAGAAATATAAAAGGCTTACCAAGGATTAAACCAACTCAATGAAAACTATTATCTCGAGAATCAAAGAAATTTCAACGAAATTACACGAAATCAAAGTACATTCGATACACCATAACTTAAACGCGCGGCAATTGACGCGAGGACCGATGACTTCGCAAATCTATCGACGTGGCCGCCAGTAGAAGCCGGTTTGCACGCGATTGTGTGGGTGTCGCCGCTATGCAGAAGAGAAAGTAGTGTGCCGTTAATTTATGTAATGCTGATTTATACCCATCCAGGATGATCTTTTTTAATCGACCGACCGTTGACGCGTACAGCCTTTGTGCAGGGCCATCGTCGCGCTCGAATTACGTTCATCGTCGTTCTTCAAGAAC